AAGGGAGAAAAGCTGGCATGGTGATGGCTGTAATATGCATTTCAGGTTGTCAACGATTTAAGGAGATAAAAAATAGCTCTATTTTATTAGTACCCTACTTAGAACTGCGGCTCTGCCCAAGGGAGTTGGCATTTAGTAAACTAGTTAATACCTCAGGCAATGCTCGGCCCTTGAAATAAAAAAAATAAAATTTTAACATTAAAAAGAAATTAGTAGTGAAAAGACATATAATTACTTAAAAAATATATATAATAGTGAGTTCTAGGGAATTTAATCCCAATTATGTCAATCCTTATGATGTTAGCAATATATGTATATTTAACTGCTTGGGAATACAATAAAAAATAACAATACTCACAATATTGTGTCTTATTATAACTATAGTATCCGCTGCCATATATGATTCACAAATAACATTGACGATACAATCTCAATGTAAGGAATCTGCCATAGGAGGTTTCTACAATCAAAATTCAACTTGAAGAAATGAGAATTGTCTCATGTTATATAGTACATTATCAAATGTGTTTTGCAAGAATACATTTACAAAAAAAACCAATGGAAACTAAATCAATATCTCAAAAGTATATTGTAATGAAATTCACCCATAATGAGGCCAAGAAGCCCAACAATAAACTAACAATAAAAGTTGAGGCATGTAGCAAAGCTCAAATAAAAGTACAGTAAAGTAGGTAGAATAGAATTAATAGCAAGTAAACTTTATTTAAGATATCTCTTTATACTAATTCAAAATTTAAAGAAGAATTTATTGTCATTATCCAATTTGTCTTTCTATGCAAAGTGCTATTCTTGTTAAGTATCTTTTAGACCATCTTCAAACTTCCTTCACCAATATAGAAATGCTCTTATCAATTCATAGTCACTAAAAAATCAATGTAAAAAGCAGTAAAGTCAATAATAAATCATAGTATCCTACATACATATACTTTATATTGCTGGATGATTTTGCATCTATTCTTGTAAACAAATTCCCAATTTTAGCCACATTTAACATATGTAATTATGTATTGCATTTTACATTTTGCATTTTGTTGTCTCCATGATAGCCACAAAGGAGAAGGAAACAAACAGAGGCAAGGTAAAATGGTAAATCCCATAGCCCTAGGTCTATGCGCATCCAGGAAAATTTAGTTACAAACTATTGATTAGAAGATAAGGAAAATTCTAAATAATTTGAATGTTTTCTGGTTAGAAAAATAGAATTACTAACCAAAACCACAAGCACAAGGGAATCAATGAGCAGTATCACCAGCAAGTATTATTTGATTGTAGCAACATACAAACTTTTCAGCAACTTCAGCATACATCATCCATAGCTTTATATCAATAATAATTATAACTGAGAGCTCTTTACCAACCAGTTTGACTTATTAACTTCTTACATGTCTACACAAATTTGCATTCTTTCAGAGCAATTGTTATAAAAAATGGAGAAGGAACCTTATTACATACCAAATTTTACAATTAAGATTTTTTTTAAAAAGTCCATCTTGTGTATCAACTGTTAGGGTAGTGTGAAAATCATTCAAGAA